CTCAAATCAGATTGTTTATTATTACTAATTTGAATTTCAGATTCTTTCTTTGAATTTCCGCATCGGTGTATAGAATTGTTTACATATTTTTGAGACAGCTTTAAAAAAATTTTGTAGATTTCCGTGTGATATACAGGAATTTAAAAGTGCAATAACAGAAATTCACCGACATCAGACTTTTAACTACAAATATAATATATATGAAAACCTTCTTTCCAGGTGCATTTATAACGCATTACTTTCACTTGGCCTATCCACTAAGCCACGATGGGCAAATGTCGGAGAAAGATACGACTCGATATTTTCTAGACATATAAGAAGCAGATGAGGCATTTTTCCAAAATTGGGCTGTCCTGAACAACGTCGGTTTGTGAACAAGACAAGAACCACATCATATTCAGCTTCATAATTTTTTACTGACGACATCGTTGTTTCATACCATTTTTTAATGAATGATGTAGAAATAGTAGTTGATGCATCGCATTCCGAATACTTGATTTGCAAGAATATTGCTAATTTCTTTTCACTATTAGAAGAATCAAGAACCCAACGGTGATCAATATTAGCACACCCTCGGTGACAGCGGAAAATGCCTTCATCAAACGAGCGAGTCACATTGTCATCGCATAATATCGATTTGTTTAAAATAGCAATGCTGTCTGTCCGTTGAAGAAAATTTTCTTTTTCAGTAAAAACTTTGAGCTTGTATAACCGAACTCTTCGCTGAAGAAGTGTGTCATCGCCTTTTGCGCCACGAAATACATCAGATAGTCGCCAGTTCATGTTCATTTGATCAGTAAGTTTTTCATTTTGAATCTTTATTTTTTGATCAATTTGTGTTCGTTTCTTTGCCTCAACTTCTTGTTGCAAGTGCGAATAAAGTAACTGGATTTTATGCTGAGTTGATGAAATCATTGACTTCTGAACTTCGATCAAACTATCAATAATGGCTTTTTGGTAATAAACATATAGAAGTTCAAAGTCTTGCCATTGCCAAAGAGAATCATGTGTCGGAATTAAAAGAAGTTGGTCTGGAAACACAGTTTCTACTTGAGAAACAAGAAGCTTGATGTTAAGTACTTTCAGTATCATGAAAGGCATAACAATAGTATACCATTCATCTTCAGAGTTGGAGAGATAAACTAAACCAGCTCGCTCAAGCTCACCAATGGAAGTAAGGCTAGGTAATAGAAAGTCTCGCTTAACAAGTTGCCTAGTAAGCCCAAATGAGATTACAGTACGTATATCATCTAAACTTTCCCAGTTACCCGGATTATCTCCAACCTTAGCAATATTCCGATTAGAAATTTTATTGAAAAGTTGATTTCCCCAATCAAAATCTGATGTGAGGACAGAAGGGCCTAAGAGATCATCAATGAACTTTGGAATGAAACCAGTGTCATAAATGGCAATGCGAAAGTGTTGTTGGTTCAGGATAAGGTTACAAAACTTCGTTGAAAGACTTGCGTTATCTTCGTTACTAAGATCAGACATATAATATAATTTAAGACCCTGAACCACTAAATTTCTTCCTGCTTCGGTTGTTTGTCTCGAATATTCATACTTATCAAGAAACATTGACTTTGCTGAGTCATAATTTAATGGGTTGAGCTCCAATATTCTGTTCGTATGTTCCGTAGGTAAAAAATGAATGTCAATTGCAGATGTTCCAGTACAGATCGGGATTATAAAATATTTGCCGTCAAGCCCATGATAAGAGTCTCCGGCATATTTATTCTCCGTTCTTACCATCATGTTACCACGCATAACACTACCGATCTCTCTTAGTAATGATTTGAAATAATCGCGAGCATCTGCCCATGATTTTTGTTGGTACTTTTGGACATCATTAATATAAAATTGATATTCGTCAAGATGGATGATAATAGCCTCAACTGAACATGATTTTGTTTTAAAGCGACGCTTAAGAATCTCGCAAATTACGTCGGGAAGGCGGAACATATTAACGTCCTTCATCTTCGACAAATCAGATAGGTTCTCAGACACCAAACCTGAAGCTACCGCAAGACGAGTCCCTATTCGCACACTTGATCCTACAATTTCATCAAACTCTTTAATATATTTGCATCCATTATTCAAGTCAACGAAGATGTAGCATGGATTCTTTAGAGCTTCAATAAAATCATCAGCGTCACTATCTTTTGGTTTCAGACGGGAAAACATATGTTGTGATTCCCACCCCATGCGTGTCTTTCCTATTCCTATTCCTCCAGGAATTAGAATAAACTCGTGATCTTTGTGGTCAGAACTTTCACGCCCGGAGTAGTTTGTGCGAGCAACATCCAGGATTAAATTCAAAGCTTGATCACGGTCATAAAACTTGTGGGAAAGTTTTTTTACATCAGGTGATTGTAATGTCTGAAATGAAAGGAAAGAAGCCAAGGTCTTTGCTATAAAATAAATGATAGAATTTTAAAATAAAACCAGGTCACCAGTTAATGTTGCAAGCAGTATATCCTCTACTACCTCTTTTTCTGTCTTGATCTTCATCGGAAGTTTCCATTTGTCTTTTCCCTGATCGAATAAATACATGATAAGAACACTGTAAATTCTTGCCCGAAACAAAGCATTAAAAGACTTACCATTTGGGGGTTGTATGATGATGTGGATGTGCTTTGGAGGGGGCTGCTCATTAAAAAGTTCCTCAACCACATCATCTGGTTGCAAAAGTATACCATCAAGATCACTTTCTACATCAATTTGATCGTGACGTTTGTTTTCAAGTATTTCCAATTTTTTATTTGTAACTCTGGTAGGAATTTCAACTTTCCATAATTTAAGTTTGTCAGCGTCAATAGTGGTGAAGGCATTTTCTTTTGCTTGCTTAATTATTTTCTGAAGACCAGAAACGGTCCTTTCCATATTAATATTAACTTCGAACCTGCTACTAAGATCATCTCCCAAAACAAGGCAAAATACCATAATTTCGGTGATATAGGGCATGGTTTGCGTTGTGTTGTGTATATATTATATTCTATAAGTATTCCAAAAATGGTAAGATTAAATTATACGATAACTTCAAAAATTTTCAGTCTGGAAAATTTTCAGTCTGGAGTATTTATAGCACTAAAAAAAATTGAAGATTGTTCCTTTTTAAAGGATCGTCTATTTGACTTTGCCAGTGATATCTTCGTGATCATCACATCACATAATTAAACACTCGGCCTAAGTTAGGATTAGCGTTAGGTTTAGGTTTATAGTTTAGTTTGGGCCGATTTGTTAGTGCTAGTAAGCAAATGACGTAATTGAGTGATTTCCGACTGGGTAAAATCGCCACTAGTGTTACAAATTGAAAATTGAAAAATCAATTAATTGCAATTAATCGATTGGATATTTTAAAAATCAGTTAATTGATTATTGCGGTTTGCAAAATTCTGTAAATTTTGCATATCATAAAAAAAAAATAATCGATTATGATTAATGATTATTGATTATGATTAACGATTAGTGAATTCCGATGTCTAATTTTTTTTCATATATTTTTAAGTTAAAATTAGAGTTTATTACGTCTTTTATAAAAATCTACATAATATTAAAGTTTAAAGTTTAAAAAAATATATGAAAAAAATTAGAAATCGGAATTCACTAATCGTTAATCATAATCAATAATCATTAATCATAATCGATTATTTTTTTTTTTTTTATGATTTGCAAAATTTACAGAATTTTGCAAACCGCAATAAATAAATTTGATACAAATTATTAATAAAAAAAGTTATATTCTTTATTTTTATTTTATTTTTTATTTGTTTATTTTTTACTTTTTTGATTTTATTTTTAATTTTCTTTAATTTTTTAATTATATAATTAATAATCAATTAAATAATCACATCTAAAAATAAATAAATTTTTAAGTAACAAAATTTAATCGCATTTTTCTCAAAATTAAACTTACTTTTCAGACAGTGATTTTCCTAGAAAACGACCCATATGCAATTAGACAGTATAGATGTAATCGATTAATTAATTAGTCGATTGATCAAATTAATCGATTCCGATTTCTAATGAAAAAAAAACTAGAAATCGAAATAATACGTTGATCGGCGGTTTGCAAAATTATGTGAAATGAAGATTACTGATTTCCAATTTTTCAACATTTTTTTGACTTTTAGATTAGACAAAATTTGCGTATCTAAAAATTTTATTATTTTTTATAAAAATAAAAGTTGCATATTCATCATTTTGTAATATATTTGCAAAAATAGGAGTTGCGCAAATTTTTACAAATGATAAATGCGCAAATTTTGTTTAGTTTAAAAGGCAAACAAAATGTTGAAGAAATCGGAAATCAGTAATCGGAAATTATTAATTACTTTTTTTTTTAGAAAATAACTAATTTTACCCGGCGGGTATATACCCGGGTATAATAAAAAAAATACAACCCTTAAAGTTAATAAGGTTAGGATTAGGGTTAGAATTACAAAATTTGATGCTGAACAATTTTACTTAAGTTATCTACATGTGGTTTTCTTAATAAAATTTGGAGATATTGACGATTTTTTAATTTTTTCTTATATACCGGGTATATACCCACCGGGTACAAATAGAAATCCTCTTTTTTTTATTGATCTTCAAATTTCACATAATTTTGCAAACCGCAATAATATTCTGAAAAATTATTAACCGATTAGTTGCCAACTCAATCAACTAACGATTAATCGATTTTCGATATCACTTGACCGGATATAATTTACCATCCTTACCAGCCTATTTTTTGAATAAGACCTGGGAATACAACTATATTGAGAGTAGGGTTGAGTTTGCGCAAGTTTAAGAAAATTAAATTTCATGTAATTTTCATCATGTTATACATAAAAATACTAGATTTAAAAAAGTTCGGCCAGTATTATTGTATCATCTGATTTGAATGTATGATCCGAATTGTAACTCCTAAATCGTCAAAATTTTGATCTCAGAAACTTAAATGTCATGTGTTCAAAATTACGAATTACACAAAACATTGATTTACGAAACCTAATTGACTCCATATTGATTTTCACTTCGTCGGACTTTCAACCGAATTTAATACACTAAGCATAATGTCATGCGTCTCCTGATTACCATATCTGATATGATTTAAGTATTACTATAATGCTTCGGGTAAAATAAAAGTTAAAATTTGTTTTTCTTTGGTGTACCTGGTTTTCACACAGCTTAGTGTACCTGGTTCTTACACAACTTGGCATATTTGGTTCTTCACAGTGTTGTAAGCTATAATTTAGACAGTATCCTAATTATTTCATCCGAATTACACAAATCCAATAGTTGTAGTTTAAAGGTTAATCTTTGCCGATTAAACATTCATATATCATATAATTGACCTAAAATTAATATTAATACTAATAAATTACAATTTTGTTGTCTGATCGAAGTGCGGGGTAGGAAATACATACTTATTAGTGTGTGATACCAACTCAAAGAAGGGAACTTAAACATAATATAACTAAGTACGTATGTACGTACGTGAAATCAAAATCAATGGTTAGGATATTAATATACTGTAGGAATAAATCACCATTCATAGTATATAAAATTTCATCCGTGCCATTTTTCATTTTTTGCTTTGTTTACACTATCATGTGACATCAAGTATATGTGTCACACTGGGGTGTTCATAAAATTATTATCGTTATGTAAGGATTTTTAAACAATTACGGAAATTTCGGAAAATTAACTTTGCGAATGATTTTTATTATAAACACTAACCCTAAATTCTAATCCAACTATAAAAAAAAAGCTGAACAAAACATCCAAAAAAATTTAAATTTTCATAATAAAGTAAATCAAAATTTCAGCATCATCCCCGACATTTATTATTGAATATAATTTACAAAGGTACATTTTTCAGAGAAAATAACTACATTTAACCGGAGGGGAAATTCCTCCCCTCAACTTTTATTAAAATTTAGGGTTAGGGTGTAAGTTTAGACGAAGCTTAGGTTAATTAGCATAAGGTTTTTGGGGTTCTGAACATTTTTACTTAGTGTGTTAGCTAACACCCCGGCGACCGAAAATTAGCAATTTAATAATAATCTCGGTTTGTAAATCTTGGCTACATTATTAAAGAATTGCAATCGAAAAAATGCTATTATTACATTATTAAAGTGAGCTAATATGTTTTTCACAAAAAATTGACTAGCAATTATTGCATTAGTTCATACCGAAAGTTACCCCTTATCCGGGGTCGCTTAAAGCCAGGTACATCACGGGGTTACCCGATATATAACGCGGATCAGCCCGAACAAAACAAAGCGAGACGACAAAGAAAAAACACGAAAAATATAAAAAACCGCCATCTAACCCAGTCTTGGTTCACTAAGTAAAAGTGTTGGAAATGCGATTTTACTATACAAACTACTTAATCTAACTCCGACCCTAATATTAATCGATTTTAATTAAAAATCGGAAAATCGGTGATGTACCTGCTTTGAGCGTCCCCTATTATCCGCAGTAAATTCTGATTTTCATAAAAATTCTAGAGTTTCGATCGCAATCCGGATTCTATTAAATCCGGATTGAATCCGCGTTAGATTACATATAAAGCTAGCTTGGTAGCAAATCCTTAGGTTCGTTATTTAAGTTTTTTGACCAATCCGAGTAAAAATCTCTGGGGGCGGAGGCAAATCATGTGATCAACCGCCAATCAAATTATAGAACTTTGATGACCGCCGTAATCAAAAATGTCGGGAAGACAATTTTGCTTATATCTAACTACCTAAAACCTATCCTAACCCTAATATAGGATGAACCCTAACCCTAAAGTTAATCGAGAACATTATTCCGCTTTAGATGTCCCCCAAATATAGTAACAATTAGTAATTTTAGTATAACGATAAGTTTACGCTACTTATGATTGGATTTGATTAGTATGATGATCATACCGGATATTGTACGTTTCCCGATTGGTTAATTCCTTTTTGGGTACACAAGTAACCACGCGTGTGAAGCCTAACACTAACTCAAAATTGTCTATGACAAGATCCTTTCATTAGTAATTTTATGAAAGTGGCTTGCTCGCATCATGATAGATACGTAGACTTAACATTAAAAAAACTAATATTTATTTATATTATATTTTATACTATATATATTTTATACGAATGATTTGGACCAATGACATTATCCAGTCTTTATAAGGATTGGATCAGATTGGACCAAACCTAAGTTAGATCAATAGATCTATATATCTATATATTTACTAGATAATTAACGCTAAAAAAAAAGAATTAAACCTTTTAATTATATGAAAATTATATCGATATAATACTGTCGTGCTTGAAGTTGACGCCTGTTTAAAGTTGCAACTTCAAACCACCTGTAATTGCACCTGACCCCTGAAATTGGATTTTTTTTGCGCGCATTAATTAATAACTCCAGGCAGGTGCGACTTCTGATGCTTAAAGTTGCAACTTCAGGCATATTCTAATGCCAAACACGACATTACTATTCGTCATCGATTTAATTAAAAATCCTGAAAATCGGTAATTGCACTTTGAGCACTAATTTGATGATGATTTGCAAAATTAATCTCGAATTCCACAGAACTGAAAAAAAGAATAAAGTAATTAAATCAAATTGACTATTATCTGACGGTTACAACTTAAATGATAACACTACATGAAAATCAATAATACTGGTTAAACTTCAAGGCAACGATAACGATTATTCGTTAATCTCTAATGTAATAATTAACGTCACATTGTTAAACAAATAACAACCCTTCTAACTTCTTATATAATTGAAGCAAGGAGCATAAGTCTTTTTCAACTTCCAAAATAAGCTCATTTCAACTAAAATCACAAACTATAGATTTATTTGTGCAATAAAAAAAATATATATAAAGCTTGATCGTAGGCTAATGATTAGCTGATATTCAAAAAATATTGAGCATCTTTGAATTCATATAGCATTTTTTTTGCTTGCGAATGCTTAACTAACGACTTTACGGCCAGGAAACAAGTATAATGCTTTCGAATATGAGGAAATATCCATATATATTCTTTTTAAGTATTCTATTTTTGATCCTTGAAATATTTCCGACATCAACACTTTCAGCATCAGGAAATTCTACTACATTGAATCAATTAAATGTTTGTCCTGCACCATTGATACCTTCACCTATATCTAATTATACTGGTCAAACATGTTTCGGAGGATGTTGCCTTCCGTGCCCCTACGTAAATAATTTCTATCCAGCAGGTCAAATAGATGCGATATATACTGTTTTAAGTGTTATTAGAGTTATTTCATTTGTTGGTATTGCAATTATCGTATTGAGCTATTTGGTGCTGCCAAATAAAAGAGAGCATCCGGCTATGATCGTTCTTATTTTTAATACTTGTCTCCTGGCATTTCTCGGTATCACTTTTTTTTACATTGGAAATCACAAAAGCATTCAATGTGCCGATGATTTCACTCAAGCAACCATGAAAAACAACCTTCTTTGCGGTGTACAAGGTAAATATAATATTATTCTAATATTATTCTAACTATCTCTGAATAACTTCTTTCATATAACACTCTTTAATCTTTTTTTTTTATATGTAACAGGTGTACTGCTGATTTTGTCAACATTTCTTCTTATTCTATTTTGTTTCCTTTTGATTCTACATTTACACGTTCAAACTGTCTGGAAATCAAATTTACTTCACAAATATTATGTTCATGCTCAAATATTTATTTGGATAATATCACTAGCATTTACTTTCGTACCTGCTATTACAAATAATATTTCATTCGATTTTGGTGCCGTCTGTATGGTTTCCAAAAATATCTCTAAAGAATTGTTCTGGGCTCCATTGGCCATTTTTGTCGTACCCGCATTTTTGATTCATATTGCAACTTTTATTTATGTTGCTAAGGTAAGTCTCCTAAGTTTATCATTAAGATGTGTGATATCAGACACAAAGATCTAATAATTTTTTTTGACTTTCACAAAGGCACAATGGATGTTGGCACGTGATTTTGATGATTCATCCTTTGGAACGATGGTGACATATTCAACTGGTTATTTAGAACATGTCACTGGTAAAGATGTTTTGAATGTCATTAAGATTCAATGGCGCTCTTCATTATTAGCAATGATTTTGTTGGTTACTTACATAATATTTATGGTAATTTGTAATTCATGATTCTTTTTACTTATTGATTGTATTTTATTAATATTTATTAATTTTGAATTAATTCTTTAGATATTTTCAGTGACTGCAACAAATCAATTATCTCCACTTCTATCTTCCACAACTGGTGTTAATTCATGGATATTTGAGTGGGTAATTTGCCTTAAGGAGCATCAGTTGACAAATAATGGTCAAAATGAATGCGCGTATATTCCAAAAGGACACATTCCGAATATTGTTTTCTTGACCATATCAGAACTATTAACAGCATCAGTGGGTATATCTATTTTTTTAGTGTTTGGAACTAGTGTTGGTCTTTTGATGGAATGGAAACATTGGTTCACTAGAACTTTTGGGCATGTTGAAAAGAGTGATAATATATTTTTGTAATTTGATTGGTTCATGTTGGTTTATGTCATGTTGACTCATGTACATTAGTGTATCGGAACACCTCAGCTTTCATATTATGTTCATCTTTAGCATTATAAATTACATTCAACATTAATTCTTTGTAAATTATTTAACAAATTGACTTTTGGTGGGACTTAGTTTACAAGCATTGATTTAGGTGAAACCTAGTTTAGAAGCATCCTTATATAAACTTATAGTTTCATTAGAAATAAAAGCAATATATGATCCAGAGTTGTCAAGTTTCATTTATTATATGATCTTGGGTTTGGGTATTTTGATAAATGTATATCGATATAACAAAATTTTTTAAATGTGAAAAGTCAACATACAGGATTATGCTATATAATAAGTAATTGCACGACGCAGTCACGCTAAACCAGATATTAACAAGATTTTGTGATATTGAAAATTTGTAATCTTAAAGATTATCAACAGAATTAAAGAATATGAATAGCTAACTTCAAAAAAAAACCAAGTACGTACATACATGAACAGATACACATGAGGTAGGTTGCCAAATAACCATGCGCATTGCCAATAAGTATATCCAAATATATACTATATATTAAAGTTCTACAAGGCGCTTGTTCGTGTAAAAAGTATTCTGATTGGCTTGCTTATACAAGCACATAAACATGAGTGCTTTCAAAAGCAAACCATGTTTTTACCTTTCAAGTGAACCCTTGAAAAATTTGATTGTAGAGTCGATTTTCGTTCACATGTACTATTATTTGTGATCTATCGTTAGGTAAGCTATTACACGTCTGTAAGGACGTGCAAGACACAGTTATGTTTTTTTACAACAATTACAACCTATTGCGACATTTACAACGATTATTGCAATTACATCCATTACGGCATTACAATTACAACCATTACAATATATCTACAACTTTGATTATTAGTTGTAATTAGGGTTGCAACCCAGGTCGTAATTCGTAATGTCCATAACCCTATAAAAAAAAATTAAAAATCATTCAGATTTTGTTCAGATTATTATTTTTAAAAATGAA